ACGGTTTTTGCACGGTATGGGTGATGAAAGAGCTTGGATGGACCAAGTTGTTCCGAGTTGGTGGGTTCCGTGGCGAGTTCTGCTGTCCACTGTACATATCGGACATTGGTGAGGTTCTTTGGGAGACGTATGAAAGTTTGATCATTTACAATTACAAGGATAAGAGCTGCAGGTTACCTACATCCGAAGTCTTGAAAAATCAAGACCGTCACTCTACGGTGTACATGGAGACTTTGGTTTCGCCCATGATCATGAATTAGCAGAGTGAGGTAGGTTCGCAACCGTACCTAAATCATGCGTTTGATCCATCATCCGATAGGCTGCATTATTGACTTATTGTTCTTGTTTGCTATCCAGCTGATCATCTATTGCAATCAGCCTGCAGAAAGAAATAGGAATTGTATGATTGCTTTGTACTTCAAATTGCTTTTGCGGAATATGAAATTACTCCATCTATTGTCTCGACTAAAGATACGGCAACCTACGTCTTTCTACTCCATGTTAAGCTCGTTTAACTTGAAACTTGTGGCTTGTTGTAGGTACCATTAGCTATATGTAAACATTGTGCTATCATGGTGATGGCAAGGAGCAAAGTAGTAGTACGTTTCAGTAGATATATGTGTGTATGACTATATAATGTAATCTTTGGATCAATGCTCGACTCGTGCTGCTGCTGCAAGGCAACCGAACTCTTGTTCTTATTTGTTGTTGTCCGAGTTCGAGTACTGGTACCTCTTCTTCTTCATCAAGCATGTAAATCCTTGGATTCACAACTATGGGTGAACATTAGATCAACCGTAAGTTCGTTTTAAACTAGTAATGGCTTACAGGTAAAATTGTAATCTGTGCAAGTGTTTCCTTATAGGACTGTAAATGCCGGTGGCATGTTACGTCTTGCACTTTTGTCAACTCCTCCATCGCTCCGGGGTTAATCTCCAAGTTTCTAGTACTGTCATTTCCCGTAAATTTGTTGCATGATATGTTATGGTACAATCTATTCCTGTTGAAATTGTGGCATTGCATGATTTGCATCATATAATCGTTACACGTAAAAATACGTATCTAAGGTTGTTGTCTATTTTGTACTCATTCTGATCAGACTCGCATCGTCATTTTTATTGTTTCAGTAAACTTGGCATAAAAAGTTTCACATACATGTGATTTCACGTTCTAATATTGGAGTTCAGAGACCTAGGCCAATACTACAGATAATGTCGCCTTAACTAGGCCACACTCTCTAGTGTTAAGTTGATCATTACTGCAACCTTTCGAAAGAAACAAATAACTTGCAAATTAAGAGCCATGTTACATAACTTAGCTTCAAGAAGTGCTTTTTACTGTCTACAGACTTGACCTTGATCACAGAAAGGACTAAAACCATTGTCAGGCGGCACTGGCTGCACAAAATACAAGAAATTACCCAAACGAGTCGACAAGAAAACTGTTCTTCCATTGGCGACCTTATTATGCTTCATGCTCCATCTCAAACCTGTCATTACTTACTTGACCATGCATATCTTGATCACAGAGGCCGACCCTATCCGATGTAGAGCCACCACAGCATCTCCAACCTTGCACAGACCCTTCTCCACGGCTTTCTTCAGAGCTGCAACCAATATCTCCTCCGTCGACTCAGCATCCGTGGCCCTCGCAGACCCTTCCGCCAGTATCGGGATCAACCCCCTGTATATCAGGCTGTGCCTCGCCGGCGACTCATCGCTGCAATCCCAGTCAAATGAATCCGTGGTCAAAACCGGCACCACCACTGACAGGATCGGCACTGCCGGCCTGTACTTGGCTACCAGCGTTGCTGTTGTCCCGCCCCGTGTCAGCACCACGATCAGCTTCGCTCTAGCCTTGTTCGCAGTCCGGACAGCGGAAGACGCCAGGCTTTCCAGTGGGCTCATCGGAAGCGGAGTAGACCTCATGATCTCCTTGAACACGGCACCATAGTCCAGCGACGACTCTGCCTCTATGCAGATTCTCCGCATGGTCTTCACAGCCAGCTCGGGGTACGCACCAGCGGCGCTCTCGCCACTCAGCATCACGCAATCGGTGCCATCGAGGACTGCGTTGGCGACGTCGGTGGCTTCTGCACGAGTCGGCCGAGGAGACTTGATCATCGACTCGAGCATTTGGGTGGCAGTGACCACTGGTTTCCCCACGAGGTTGCACTTGTAGATCATCATCTTCTGAGCAAGGAAGATCTTCTCCACGGGGATCTCCATTCCGAGATCGCCACGCGCAACCATGAAAGCATCCGTTTCGCGCAGGATGTCATCGAAGTTGATAACACCCTCCTGATTCTCAACCTACAAAAAAAGAAACGAACTTAGTTGATGACTAGTTGACTACACAATCCCAGCAGCCAAATGACATGCATACTGAGCATACTAGATTGAGAGATGGTACCTTCGACATCAACTTGATGTGCTTGGCATGGGGGCCAAGGACCTTGCGAACATTGACAAGGTCGGACCCCTTTCGGACGAAAGAGAGAGCAATCATATCAATGGCATTCGGAACACCCCATTGAAGAATATCCTCTTTATCCTTGTCAGTGAGCGTCGGGAGATCGACGACAACACCAGGGAGATTGACATTCTTCCTCTCCCCGAGCATGGCAGTATTCTGGCAGCGGCATCTCACCGTTCCAGCCTCGGGATCACACGACAGAACAGAGAGACTAATAGTGCCATCGGAACAAAGGATGGTGTTCCCCGGTTTGACATCCATCGGCAGCTTCTTATAGCTCATGGAAATCGTCTCCGGATCTCCCTTGATGGTGTAGTCAGTAGTGATAGTGACTTCTTGGCCTTCCTGAAGTTGGATCGGGTTCCCATCTTTCAAGAAGCCGGTTCGAATCTCTGGTCCCTGGAGGTGTGAATTGAGAAGCAGATTGAAAGCTGCAATGTTAGGGTTCCTTCCACTAAGCTGATTCAAAATTGGTAAAAGAGGGAACAAACAAAGAGAGAGAGAGACCTTGGTATCGAGCATGACAGCACAAAGGATGCTGGTATTGTGCATGGCGATGCGGAGATTGTCCAGGGTCTCCTGGTGGTACTCGTGAGAGCCGTGGGAGAAATTGAAGCGGGCGACGTTCATCCCCGCCCTGAGAAGCTTCTCGATCATGGGGACAGATCTAGATGCAGGCCCCAGAGTGCAGACAATTTTGGTCCTGGGGACGCGGCTCTCGTCGCCATCCTCGCCTCGAAGGAGGCCATCGATGTCAATGTTGGCCATGGAAAGCTAATCGACGCAACTTACTGCCGCGGCCTAACTGCTGCTGCAAATGAATCAAAATAACAAACAAAAATAGCAACAAAAAGGGAAAGGCGTAAGGTCTAAATTCCGGATGCGCAGGAAATGAAATCGGAAATCAGAAATGGCGGTGGATGTGATCTGTAGATTGGGATTGCCGATCGATCGGTTGACGGTCGCGGGAGGTAAGGTTCAACAATCACAAGACAAGAGCGGAACAGCAAAATGCAAACAGAGAGAGAGAGAGGAGGGGATTACTTGCACTCAGCGCCTCAGTGACTGAGTTGACGGTAGGGTTAGTCGGAGAAGTAGCAGCAACGGCGACGGCTACGGCGGCGACTTTTCCTCCAGGGAAAGAGCAATCTGCTAGATGGGCAGCGATTCGAGCGAACGAGAAGGCGGTGCTCCGACAACTCTATTGTTCTTTTTTGCTGTCCTAGTACTATATTTGGGGGCCGGGTTTTTTCTGCCTTTGAGTCTGTGTGGTCAAGACTCAACGGCGCACATTATATATATGTCAGCCCATATTATGCTACCAAACACGCCCCCAGTTTTCACCATGATCCTTCCTAGGGTGGAAATCGGTACGGTATCGGTATCCCAATACCACATACCGAAATCCCGAATACCGAATTACACCCTGAAATCAATCCCAATCTCAATCCCTAAATAATTTTGGTATCTCAATCCCAATCCCTAAATAATTTCGGTATCCCAATCGGTACCTCGGTATCCCAATTGGTATTATCAAATAAAAAATTAATTACGTTTGCCATTAATAATTAAATATATAAATTAGATTTTATTGTTTTATTTAGGGCAAAGAGACTAAGCAAAGAGTCTTAAGTTTCCTAGAGCTAACATCTCAAGTTTTTGTAATTGGTAATCTTTAATTTGATGAATTTGAGATTGAGAGACGACTAATGCTAGTGTGAAATAGTGATGTAATGATCTATGTATAATTAAATGACACTTTTAGTGGTTGAGGGTCGCGTAGAAGTGAATGGGAGAGTTTAGTTGAGAGAATAAAATACACACTAGCTTATATATCGGTATTTCGGTATATACCGATCCCAATCCCGTAATCCCTAATACCGAATAACAATTGAAACTCAATCCCAATCCCAATCGCACAAAATAATACGTGTATTCGGTAATACCAAATATAGACAAATTCGGTACGGTATTCGGTATATCCCAAATACCAGTACCAAACTTCCAGCCCTAATCCTTCCTGCGGGTAGGAAAGCCTCGTGGAGGTAGATGTTAGGGGTCGTTTGCTTGTGGGATTTGGGTGATGGATTTGGAACCCAAATCCCAAGCATTATAGAATTGATACAAATTCTTTGTTTGTTGAGGGACACAAATCCGTGGGGTTCACGGATTTGGGCCCCTTTTTAGATTCAAATCCATGGACCCCACGGATTTGTAAATCCCACATTTCATTTGGGATTTGACAATAAAAGGAAAAAATGTGAGACAAATCCATCACAAATCCATGATAAAAAATCAACTAAACAAATAATGTACTCTTCCAAATGCATCATAAATTCAGAAGTTTTTAAAACTCAAAACCTTCATTGTCAAATCCAACAAACGAGCCCTTAATAAGCAAACGAGCCCTTAATGTCGTCACCTCGTGTTAAACCTGTGGGTGGAAGACTTGCTTCTTTTTGTCATCGTGGCGTGGGCCTTCCCATGGGCCGATAGCCCATTCCGATTTTGTCGCAGAATGTGGCGTGGAGAAGTGATTTCATGAGGCATGACTGCTACTTCCATGTCATGAAAGCTTCACAATCACGATTTGCATCCTCATGAGTCAACAATCATGGCATGCGTGCAACATCCCTTTTTCAAAAGGATGCATTCTCTAAGGAAGCGCCATTTCTCCCCTCAACCACCATCTCCAATATCAGTATAGCCTCAAAAACTCGTACCAAAGTACAAACACCTAACAAAAAATCTCGACACAACCGGAACATCAGCCCGTGTTATGGGCATCTTACATTCAGCTCTTCAATGGAAAACCTCTAAGGTCGACAGTCGGTATCATAATAACTTAATCCAATTTCCCCCCTAAGCTGATTTTGATTCCTCATCGGGAGATCCATCTGAATCGGAACCACCACCCACCATCCTTTCTAGCGAATCCATCTCGCCGGCTTCTGAGAAGGTGTGCACCCGTAGTTGATCAGCATCTTCACTGCAGAACCATGAAACAAAAATAATAGGGAATGAAAAATGGCGGAACCGAAAAAGTGGTTGAATCTGAATGACAAAGGAAATAGGAACATGTAAATAGATCCTACTCTTATCCTACAAATGTCGTAAAGCAAAATCAAACGAAGTAGAGGACTGCAGACACGTACTCTGTAACCCCAAATATCTCCTTCACCACCAGCGAGCTGTCCCTTGAACATAACTCTGGTAACTGGTACACCAAAGAAGGAAACCAATCAATTAAATATAGAACAAGTGCTAATCACAGAAAGAAAGGAATCATAATCATACCCAGATGGCCAGACAGCCACTTATTCAAACTAAAATGATAAGTTCTAGTTTTGTTCTATAGCCTCCATTCTTCACGATTTTTGGTTTTTAGTCAACACTGAGATAAATGGTTGCTTGCGGGAGAGGCAATAGGAATTAGGAAGTAGTGAATCTTGAAATCAATACAGCTGACTAGTCTACGAGCAAACCGGCATTGGTAAAGGGAAATCAAAATAACATCTAGTTATCCACAAACAGCTAAGAAATGCAAATTATTGAACTGAAATTATAACAAAGTGGTAGAACGTGACCAATCTGGTCAAACACTGACCTCTGATAAATAAAAGACCTTCCCGAATAGGGCCTGAACAGCAAGCTTTCTCTTAAATCCCTTTTCAGTATATCCTGACACATCCATGACAACAGGGCCTGAAATTTGCCAAGACGAAGTGAAAATTGGATAAGTACACAATCAATACCACATCATCTCTTCTCTTAACTGAAATTTGGTAGTAAATCGAGGATGAAAAGTAACTGCATGTTTCTCTTCTAATCGCGCCAATGACCACATCACTATATCAAATATCAAATAGCAGTCTATATGTATCATTGAATGCTGTACATTTAAACAGCACAACAGAACAGTTCATTTGTACATGAAACCTCGATGGATAGTGGCCTGAATGGTAGTTCCACGGTGTAGAGAAAGATTACCCAATTTAATGATGCAAATATTCTGTGGCATTACTCGACCTTACAGCATTGTGATAATTATTGACACATGACAAACTTTGAGGTAGAATTATCAGCCAGATTATTAGTGAACATAGAATGTTGCTTTACTTGATTTCGAGCTTTGTGTTAATTATTGGCAAATGAGGCAAGTGTAATAGAGTGAACTTCTCAAACAAAAAGTTATCAGCAACTAGAACTTGTCGTTGTGATGCACCAACTAGATTGTAGTAACAGTTGATGCAACTATAGAAGCATATAAGCTGGTGTGACTAATTCAAAAGAAAGATGAAAACTTAAGCCAATAAAACATACGCTGACCATCTGCAGGATATGCGAGCAGCACATTTCGTTTATAACAGCAAGCTTGACAGTCTTTTATTTAATAAGAATAAGCTACACATTTTCGTCCTGGTATTTACTGGGTGTTGACCACTGATGGTGCGCAAGACTAGGTAGGAAAGGATATACAACTGAAGACTGCTACTGTACTGTACCATGTTTATATGTAAAGCCTAAAAGGTACCAAGGAAGACACTCACCATTCCACGGGGTAACTGATGCAATGGTGACTATAGTTGTGGGAAACACGATTTTTCTGTATTATTATTATAATCATTATTAGGATAATTCTTATTATGGTTAGTAGTCTTCTAGTAGAATTAGGTTTATTCTTAGGGTTTTCTAGTATTTCCCTATATATATGTACTTTGGGTCATTCGTCAGATTAAGCAGAAATTAATAAGAAAAGTCATCTCCCCAAATCCCTAATCTTCTCTCAATCTCGTCTATCTTTCTCTCTAAAGGCTTCGGCCATTCTATCTCTGTTCTTCCCCAAATTCTCTTCTCAAATTCCTAAATCCCCAATTCTGTTCTATAAACCCTAAATTCTCAATCTCTAGATCTGATCTGGAGACCTGTAGGAAACTTGTTTCCTACATCTGGTATCAGAGCCATGGTCGAAAACCAGAGTTCATCACGACTTCCACCCGAGGACCACTCTCGTGTGCTGCATGAGTGCCTTTGCAAGCTGGAAGCCCTCAGGATCAAACAGGAGGCAGTATGGGAGCGGCGGGACGCAGAGTTCACACGACTCCTAGCCGTGATTAGCAGAAAGAGCCGATCCTCCAATACCGCTGCTACAACGCCACCACCACATGCGGCTGCCGCACCTCCTGTCCCCGACGAGAAGGCAGAGCAGCCCTCGATAGAGGAGTTGATGGAGGCAGATTTGCCGGCCACCAAAGACAAGTCAGCGCCACTACCTTTGGCTGAAACCACCACGATGCTGCAACCGGCTGCTGTCGAGGACGGAGAACCTGATGCTAAGCTCACAAATCAGCAGCAGCTGCTGCCGCCGACATCAGCTATGACACTGAACCACCTCACCGCAACGCCGTCACCACTATCCACAAAGGCTAATTCAAGGTCAACCACAGAACTTGCCGTGGCGGTTATATCCACCGCGATGTTAGAGCTGAAACCAATCATCACCACCACGGTTGGACTAGTTGGTACCGTGACCCCAAGCATGGCAGCAAGGGCCGAAAAGAAGAGGAACATCACTGTTGAGGCAAAAGGGGAAGGAGACTGTGTCGCCACCGAAGATGAGAATTTGGCTGGAGATGTAGAGAAAGGACCGACCACTGTCCTTGACGCCTCAAAGGGAGTCGAGCAGCTATCCGGGAAGAACAACAACCAGGGGATGGGAATGACCGCTGCACCTTCTTTGTTTGGGTCGAAATCACCGGAGACTAGAGCTGTCAGTACGCCACCGTGGCCACCACCATCAACCGACGACCTTTTGCGGGCTTCAATAGAGCCCATATCGTTGGCCATCGCTAGAGCAATGCCGCAATCCACGGAGGCTTCGGTTGCATCCACCAAGGAGAAGCCAGGGGATGAGATGGAACAAAAGGCGGAGGTCGAGGTGGACTGGCCACCGGGTCATCGGCGAGATCGCGCGCCACCAAGAAGGGAAACGCCGGCGACGAAATCGTGGTTGGAGGCGAGACGTGACTCCGGCTCATCGCAAGAGGAGAAGAAAGTGAAGGGTGGCGCGACGATGGCAGGCTCCGTTTCGCCGTCGACCGACGAGGATGAGGTGGCGATGAAAGATGGCGGGGATCTTCCTCGTGCGTCGCCAGAGAGGGAGAAGAAGACCGAGGGCGAGAATGACGACGGCGTGATCCTTTTCTCGCCGAGGAAGAAGAAGGAATCAGCATCGGAGGAAGAGATGGCGCTGGGATCGCCAGAGAAGAGGATGAGCGCGGCGGCTGCTTCCTTCGTGGCGCCGGGCATACGGTTGGGCTGGTTGTCGCCGGTAAAGGAAGCGAGGAGGAAGGAGGGCGGTGGCCGCGTCGCTTCCCTCGAAAACCCTAGGTCCGCTTCCTTGGGCCACGCACAACAGGAAAAAAGAAGTGAGTTGGACCGCATTGTTGATCTGGTCTCTGGGACGTTTGGGCCGCAATGTGTGGGCCGAGAATATCTGGAAGAAGCTTTGGAGTTGGGTCAGGCTGTTTGGTTCTTTTGTGTTTCTGGGCTAGGAGGAGAAAGTTGTGTGGTGGGAAAGGTGGAAAAAGCTTTTGCTTATGGGCTGGTAAAGAAGAAAGAGATCTGCTGGGCTCCAGGAGAAGTTGGGCCGCCCATTTGTTGTCTTTTAAAGAAGAGGGATGAGTTTCTTATGTTGGCAGATGGGCTTATAAGGAATTGGAGCCCAAACGAAATCAACAATGACCACACAAAGGGACTTGACAATGATTTGGGCCCATGCTCTTTCTTTCAAGAAATTTTGGGCCGGATCACTTGGGTCATTGGCCTAGTTGAGTTAGAAGAAAGCAGGCCGAGTCAAGAGGGAGTTGGGCCACGAATTTACTCTTTTATTGGATCTGTTTTGCAGGAAAAGAGTGAGGCCAATATGGGTTGTGTTCTAAAGAAGATGGACTTTGATGGTGGGCTTTCAAATGAGCCTAGCCCAAGCTTCCCTAGAGAAGAGTTCTTTCACTCTTATTTCGTGGATTTCGAAAGAGAGGAAGAAGAATTGTTCGGCGATAGGCTGGGACGTAGGTTCCACGTAAAGGGAGAAGAGTCGTGGAAAGTGGAAGTTGCTGGAGAAAGATTATTTTATGGAATTGAGCACGATTGGAAGAAACGGAAGCGCAAGAACTGGATTAGGCAGCTTGCGGATTGCTTGGGAAGGAAGGAAAAGAGGGTCAAAACGATCAACCTTGAGGACAAGGTTGGTTTGAAGGGGGAGGAGATGTTAGAAACCAATTTCGGTAGGGTTTCTATATTTATTATTGTTATTACTAATAGGGTAATTCTTATTATGGTTAGTAGTCTTCTAGTAGAATTAGGTTTATTCTTAGGGTTTTCTAGTATTTTCCTATATATATGTACTTTGGGTCATTCGTCAGATTAAGCAGAAATTAATAAGAAAAGTCATCTCCCCAAATCCCTAATCCTCTCTCAATCTCGTCTATCTTTCTCTCTAAAGGCTTCGGCCATTCTATCTCTGTTCCTCCCCAAATTCTATTTCTTAATCCCTAATTCTATTCTTCAAATCCCTAAATCCCCAATTATCAAACCCGTTAGAAACTTTGTTTCTAACATCTGGTATCAGAGCCCGGTTTCGAGAATTGAGTTCGCCACAACTCTCAACCGGGGACGAGTTCTACAACTGGTTCGACGATGAGCTCTTCAAAGCTCTCGAACCTGTCGTGGGCAGAGCTGCGTGACCGGGCTCGCCGCATCGGACGCCGTTGGAGCTCCGCAGAGTCGCCGACCGCGCAAGCAGAGACGGTGACCCGAGTAGCCGACAGCGAGCGCCCACCACCGCCGGTCGAGGCCGACCCGTGTGATGGTGAGCGGCGATCCGAGCAGCGCGCTGCGGTAGTTGACGCCGACGAGAAGCGCGCAACCAGCGAACCAGCGCCGACCCTCTCGCTGCACTCGGTGGCTGGATTGCCCTCCCTAGGCACTCTCCGCTTCAAGGCTCAAGTCGAAGAGCAGCTGGCCGTTGAGGAGACACCAGCCGCAACAGCCATAACCGTCACCATGACAGAACCGCAGCATCCTGGACGGGATGAACAGAAGGCACCCTTAGTCGCCCTTGCTGCTGTTCCAAGTGAAGAGAAGGACTTGGTCTTTGAAGAACAAACCAAGTCTGAAATTACCGGGAGAAAATCAACACCAAGGCGGGTAGCAAACTGGAGGTTCCGGAAGAAGGAGTCTACCGGTGCGGAGGAGGTCGCACCCCGAGGCTGGGCGGCGGCGACCGAGGCGGAGAAGGAAGCCGTGGACGTCGACGCGGGGGAGCACTCGGCGGCGGAGGCGGCAGGTGGGAGCTTTCTTCTCGCAAACCCTAGAAGCAGCAGAGTGCAACAGCCGCATACCTTTTCCTTGGGCCAAGCGACTGGGCCCGAGCATGCTAAGGATCAACATAGTGGGCCATTTTTTGGACGCGGGAAGAGCTGGCTGGTTCGTGAGGTAGGCTTCGCTGAGCTTGTTGGAGCCCAATTGGATTATCATAGCAAGTTGTGGATTGGGCGAGAAGATTGGAAGAAATGGGTCAAGTCAGTCAACCTTGAGGGCAAGGTTGGTCTGAAGGGGGAGGAGATGTGGGAAACACGATTTTTCTGTATTATTATTATAATCATTATTAGGATAATTCTTATTATGGTTAGTAGTCTTCTAGTAGAATTAGGTTTATTCTTAGGGTTTTCTAGTATTTCCCTATATATATGTACTTTGGGTCATTCGTCAGATTAAGCAGAAATTAATAAGAAAAGTCATCTCCCCAAATCCCTAATCTTCTCTCAATCTCGTCTATCTTTCTCTCTAAAGGCTTCGGCCATTCTATCTCTGTTCTTCCCCAAATTCTCTTCTTAAATTCCTAAATCCCCAATTCTGTTCTATAAACCCTAAATTCTCAATCTCTAGATCTGATCTGGAGACCCGTAGGAAACTTGTTTCCTACAATAGTAAACTAAGATATTGCTTAACTAGTTAGCATATGGAAGTGTCACCAAAGTTTAAAACACCTTATACCTTTGTCACGCACAATCAGCCGAGAGATCTCATTCAGAATTGAAGCCATCTGGGGGTCACTCAACTGCGAAGCTACCCTGAGCCGGATCAAGTCGGCAACCAGTTCTGGATTGAATGGTTTCTCGTTCAGTGCATATCGGATATACTTGCGCAAAATGTCCTCCATAGTGAAACCTGTCTGGACATGAACCAGGAGTCAGCAGCGAAACTTAAAATGCTGTGCGGAGAAAGCTGAACTACAAATAGATAACAGGGTTGCCCCTTGCGTTTTCACCTTCTTCATCAGCCCTTCCAAAGCTGAAGGCTGCAATTCATCTCCCCCACTCTGAAGCAACTCGTCAATGGATCTACACAGGGTAGCGTTTTTATTGACCTGGGATAGAGATTCCATCCAATCCAATTAAACACAAGTTTTGCATTTCAACACCATCTTGTAAGGTGTTAGATACGATTCAAGTGAATATTAGGATTGAGGTTATGGCAAACACAATTCTAGCAGATAAAAATTGAATTCATCAAGACTAAAGGTAAAATGACGGCATAACAAACAAACAAAGAATTTAGAGAGGAAGAGACGAACCAGCCGCCGGCGCTTGGTTTTGGGAGAAGACAATTTCCTGACGGTCTTAACAAAGGCAATAACGAATGTAACGCCGGCGTAAGCCAAAGGGAGGGCAAGGATCCATGGAAGTTTGCTGTGACCGACTCTCGGCCCGGGAATTGCCTGAGTGACGGACCCTGTGAACTCGACTAGGTCCAACGCCTTCTCCTGAATCCAAGGCAAGTCCTCCTCCACCTCTATCACATCCTCCTCCTCATCCGCTTTCTTGTTGTCCTTCTGAATACTGCTCTTCGAACCAGCTGCCGCCACTGCCAAGGCAATCCTCCTCCTGGGACGAGGCAGAAACGGTGAAGCAGGAAATGAGACGGCAGAAGGGAGAGGGCAGCATGATTTCGGTTTCCCTAGCCGAGACGAAGCGGGAAAGGCAGCAGATGAAGAAGAAGAACAAGCAGAGGAAGCAACAGTTGGGATGGAAGCCATCGATTTCGTCTCACGAGAATTGAAATTGCAAGAAGTCTAGGAAGAAAGATAGCAACAGTTCTGCCGTCGCTGAGTTCTCGCTCTACCAGAGGAAAGAAGACCGAAAGATCAGTGAGTTGCATCTTCGAGCTCTCAAAGTCAAATGACTATTGGGCTTTTTTCAGCCGAGACAGCACCGAAAACAATTGGATCAAAAGCCCACTACTCTTTTTGCTGTTTAGATTGGATCAAAAGCCCACTATTCTTTTGCTGTTTAGAATGAAATACTAGCAGGCTGCAGACTGTAGTAGAAGAGAACACTTTCATCTTTACGATGATAATTTCATTAGGCACTTTTTAGCCCGAGCGATAACAATGAAGCAATCAGAGTACACTTTCATATCCCTACCTAGCCCTCTATGATAACGGTAAACAATCAAAACAACACCGTATTACATTCTTGTTTGTGGAGTACAGGTTATGCATTCAAACGAACGCAAAGAATTCCTGTAACAACTCTCTCCATTCAGCACTCTCTCCATTCGTCTGCAGGCAGCAGCAGCGGGAGCGACGAGATACAGATTTCTGTTAGCCTTCTTTCTGGTGGTCTCAGTGTAAAAACCATGTGAGTGGGTCACCAAGAAATGTCTTCATTTTAGCACGAATTTACAAGAAAACCCAGACGCCATTCCTTCCTCCACGAGCTCGAGTTTTAGCTTTCCTCGAACCCGTGTCAGTTATGAAACTTCTTGTAGAGCTAAATTCAGCTCCTGTGCAGACTTCCCTACCGAACCTCCTCGTCTATACAACCAAACAACAGAGATTTATGATTAAAATTACTTGTAAGACGATACTCCACGTTTACTATCATCCAAATACGTACCTTGCAAGGGAAGGCAAGCAGCGCTTAACCTTTTCCAGCTCAACGAAACAAAGATTGCAACGCTCCATTCTGCAAGTGAGTCCCAAATTCCAAACTCGATGTTCAGAAAAATATACATCATTACTATGTGAACTGCAAGGCAAATTTAAGCTAGCTAATGATACCTTCTCTCCGCTTCAATGTCTACACCGATAGTGGTTGAAGCTGATATAGTTGAGTAGATCACAGTACCAAATGTCCGGACGAGCTTTACCAGCAACTCCATCGAGATGCTCAAATGCCTAAACTTGGGAGGAAAAATCATTCTCAGTTAAGATGCAGGCACAATGGACGACTTAACACAGAAGAAACAAGACACAGCACACCACTCTTGCAAGACGAGTTTTTTAGAAAATATCGTTTGTAGGTTGTTTATGCAAACTCCTAGGTCACTCGCACTTATTGAACTACCAACTCACTGCCACTTCATCCAGGAACAACAGCTATCAGAGGGAATCTCAAATTATATGAATATAATTTTTTGAGGATGATATCAAGTATAAACCTTTATCCATCCATGGGTCTTCTCCACTTTCGCATACACACTCATTTTTTTATTATTGATTAGCCATGAAAGGACGGCAATTTCTTAATATCACCAATCAGATACCTGTCCATTTTGCTTTCGAGAAGAGATGTTAGAACAGGCAGAAGATACGTGCAAACATCTAAGGTAACAACGTCAATTTTCTCAGCAATAATGCTGGTTACATCAGCAACAACCTGCAATGTAATCCAAGCAGATACATTAAAGAAGAGTAATTATTAAGCAAACAAACGGACATTGCCGGCGAGGAAAGAAAAAAGCAACTCACAGCATGATCAGCCATCTTCTCCATCACACTAATGGCCCCCTTGACATCATTTCGCTCCCAATATCTATATACAGCCTGAAATTAAACACACTTGAGTCACAAATCATCAACAGCAACTAGCTAGACGAAAAGCAATCAGTTAACGAATTATTATCAACTAATTTGTTTGGGACGTTGTAACTAAGAGATCAGTAGCACAAGATTACTAATACAGGTTCCGCTCCATGTCAGCACTGTCCCTTGTCCCCAACCAAAGTCTGGTTAATAAAATGATGCTATTTAGAATGAAATACTGCATATGCTACAAAAGTTGAACTTCGAAGGAGTCTAAAAGACAATAAAGAGCAGAGAACTGGATGCTCCATAAGGAATTCTACTTCACAGTCACAGTTAATATTTGACACAAAAGAAGAAAAGAATGTAAATGAGCAACGGGTGAAGGAAAGCCTCTTAATGTAGTACATAACCGACTCCAGATTTCACTCCTAACTAGTAAGCCCCTCTTATAGTCTTATGAAAAGACAATCCATCAAATGGATGATTGCAGTTTACACTTCTATCTACCTCTTCAATATTCCAAGGGGTTCGCCTAAAGGTAATGCGAATGAAAGACATCCAATTCATCCTAGATACAAACCTTCAGGTCAACATTTACCTATCCAAAAGATAAAAAATATACCTACCAGGGATCAACTCGAAAAACTTCCCAGCCATTCAAACTGCTGCTAGTTATCTAGTGTCGTCTTTCAGCTCATACTATATCAATTACCATTTATTCAGTACCTTTAATCTCACACAAAAATTGCAATGTATATTTAGAATCCAAGGGTACCTGCAATTTGGCCAATCGTGATTGCATAGAGCTCACAAATTGGTCATGCGGTTCCATTACATCGGCTATATAATCCTCATCAGTGCCCAAAATCGTCTTGGCTTCAGGAGACGGGGTGTGCTCTCTCTGTAAAATTTGAAATTGTGAGAAATGCAAAATGGACAACATTAAGAAATTGGACATGTAAGTAAGGCAGAGCTACAAATTCCAACCAATCTAAGATCCTCAATAAGATAGGCTTTACCTATATTTTTATTTGGGTTGGGGGTAGCATGTGTTCGGGTCCCATTGTTTCTAAACGAAAGATAATCCCACAAGTGTATAACCCAATTTCATGTTTTAAACCAGTGGTATACACTTCTCCCAGGTAGAGATTAGACATAGCATTAACTTAGTCAACTTGTGGCCACATTCAATTAATAAGAACAGCCGACTGAAGTGATGTCATTTCCAATAAACAAATACTGCATTCTAAAGAAACACTCATGTGGCTAGTAGCAACAGTGCCAAATAAAGCTGAAAGAACCAAGGGGGTAACCATACTCTATTAAGAGGGAGCACAACCCTGGACGCTCTCCCAGGTAATACATCAGGTGTAGCCCCCTGATAGGCTGTTCTTCCATTTTTCTCCATATTAAAAGCAAGTGAGCGCATTCTTCCTACAGATTTCACAAGCATAGAGTATAAAGACCATGATTTTTCAGAAATATCAACTGTCGTCTACTCGTGAAGATGGAATATACCTCCTTTTTGGCCTTCAAACGAGGGTGCATCTCTAAATAATTTATGCCCACGATTCTCATCTGCAAAAGGCTAAAGTGTTCAGTTCGGAAAGCCAAATACTCCGTGTACAAGTGCAAATAATTGTTATCTAAATAGACAGATGACAACAGAAGATTGAATTATGTTTCAGGTGGAGTCAGGAATTAGTCATCATGCCATACATGCTAGATCAAGAGGGGAACCTGCATGCTATTACCATACATATATGAATACTTAAATCAAACAACAACATATTATCCAAACTGGTTCTTACAAATTTCCACAGGGTAGGTCGAAGGTTGATCTGTCATGAAATTTGATTCTGGTCCTCTGGATGCAATCAACCTGTCCTCCTTCAAACTCCTTTCAGTAGCCAGTACTCCATGAATTGAGCCCTTTGCTGCAGGAAAACTAGTCCTGTCCACAACATTGCTTCCCGTAGGCGCATGCTGGACAGAGATAGTCTGCTGCTCCATGTCATCATTACTACTAGGGAACCTTCGGAAATCATTAGTCTTTGATTGCAAAGGAAACTGCATTGATCTGCCACTGATACTAGTTTCTTTTCTCAAATCAGAGTTACGTTCCAACCTTGCACTAGTTCTAGGCACAATCACAGGTATAACATCTGCCTTACTAAAGACTGGACCACTCATTGCTGGATTGCCCTTTGAATAATTCTTCTTAGCGACTCCAGTACTTGGAACTGTTATGGGATTGGCCAATGCTTTTACGCCAGAGTTTACGCTGACCTTTTGAGGGGTACCAGGCACATTTCCTGTGGCTTCAACCAGAAGCAGGCAAAAAGTCAGGAAAATGTGTACTTCATTAAACGAACAAGAATAGAATCGGAACGAAGTACACATGTTTCAGGTACAGAGTCACAGAGAGATAGTCCATTTGAATAGACAACACTTCGGAAAAAAGCACATCCCAAAAAAAGGAATAAGTACTTATAGGTGGCAGATTTACAACAACGAACTTTCTACTGACCACTGATATGTATAGAAACACAAAAGAGAGGTTTCAGTTCATTAAATCATATTTCTATGGTGTGTGCTTATCTTGAACAACTTGTTCAGTCCCTCACCAAATAATGACATTCTTAAGAACCAAAAAATATTAAATGAAATCAGAGCATCTTATCAATACATAATCACAAAATAAACCATGAAAAAGAATATTCGAAAGTAACATACATGCTATAGTCTTTGACTCTTTGGGTAAATCTTTGGTGGTATCAGAATTGTGAGAGACTGACAGTCTCCCTAACGACTTGGCTTCATTTACCAAAGAGTCTGCCCCTTGTGAAACTGATACCCTCCCCAAACTTGCTTTTGCAGTGTTTTCAGTTAGTATTGATTGATTTCCCATTCCACTTGCTTTAGATTCCACATGACTATTGAACCTCTGAGAATTGCCAAGTGCAGATGTCTCTGTCCGCTATCAAGACAGACAACAGTAAGTGATACAATAGACTGAAGTCCAAGTTGAAAACAATCGAGATCCAGAGAATATCTAAGGTTTTCCATACCGAGATGTCGGCGACCCATACTCCCACACAACTCTGATTATAAGAACAGCCAAGGAGTTTCCCATCACTATTAACATGCAGATCTGACAATCTGGACCATCCCACATCAATGGCATCATGACATCTTATCGGTTCCCAAGAGAAAGCCTACATAAGAATAAGTGGAAGCTGATGGTCAAGGAGCAATTACCCTATTATAATCACCCCAACTGACAAGCCGCAAAAGAACATACCTTCAGACTTTCATGATAACCACAGAGGACGGTCCGCCCATCAGGATTGAAGGTCAAACAACGTACTCCACTCGCCTTAATAAAACATGAGGTTAGAAAGGAGTTTGTAAGAAGGCTATGCATGACCTATTTTAATAATAACAGCATTGCTTAGAGATCAAATTACCTCAGGACCAGCAGAACCAATCAGTTCAAAAGTTTCAAGGTCAAAGAACTTCACAGTTCTATCGGCAGATCCTAGACAAGGGAAGAAAATAAAAGGTTAAGAAATAAACATGAAACCTCAATAGCAACTGTCACTAATATTGATTCCAATCTGCACAGCGCATATCAACAATCAACTGTAAGACGAGCTCAGAGAAACCTATAATTGATTGTTTCCCTAGAAGAAATAATGAGATCATTACAAACAGAAATTAAGGCATGGGAATTACCGAGGGGAAAATTAAGGCATGGGCACTTCAGAGGTGAGCCTTCATTGAACTCTCAAAATCAAATGAAGACTGACAAGGCAATAAAATAAAACTAACCTGTTGCTAAAAGGAACTCATTGGGATGGAAATCAATGCATTGAATCTGCCCATCATGACACTTGAACTCGTGCAATAGCTTCCCGGCAGTCAGATCCCACAGCTGTTTAAATAACATGAATGGCCAAGTACTCAAATTAAGCACCTAGAAACAATCTTGAAAGATTTGTTGCTCTATTTAGCTACAGACAACAGGAGACGCATAGAGTATTCAGCCTCTAAATGGCGCTAGACAGACTTTAATGTGTTCATATTCTAGACAGTTACATATCAAAATCAAGAAGCAGGTGCCAGTTCACCTACACAACACTGAAATAGATACAAGAACTCGCAGTTGCAAAAACACGAATATTTCCACAGAACAGCAAACTTGAAATCCAAAATCTGCCTCATTTAATTGTTGACATGATCAGCCCACACTACCGCAGGCAAAGAGTAAAATTACATATCAAGCATATGACACAAAGATAGAAGATGTAAGATCTGTCTTAGCTGAACCATCACATGCAAAAGCTATTTTCTGGTGGAAAGGCCAAATGTAGAAGAAAATAAAATAGATATCGAACTTGCCTAAGCATGAGACTGAACAAGGGAAAGTAAAGTAATAACAACCTTCACAGTGTTGTCCTGTCCACCAGATACTACCCAACGACCGTCTGGAGTGCATCTAACTGCATTGACCCCTCTAGTGTGCCCCTTGTAAGTGTGGATAGAACCACCTTTCTTCCTGATATCCCATATCTTAACGTTCGTATCGGAAGAACCAGATACGAAGAACTCTCCGAAAGGGTGAAAGTCCACGGATATGCAGTTGGACATATGGCCCCTGAGGGTACGGACAACTGGGAGCAAAACCAAACAACGAAAAAGATATGTCAGTTAACAAGCTTAGATGGAGGTGCATTCATGTCCAAGCCGATATGAGGATGTATCCTCATAAATTTCATGGAACAAAAACATACTCTTTGCCTCCTCTAAATCCCATAGTTTGATTGTACCACTTGCAGATCCCGCCGCCACTAAGACTTCCGAAGAATCGAAATTGACTGAATCGATTCCACTATTATGTCCCGACAGACTCTGTGCATTGATCATTCAAAAACATCAAGTTGACCGGACCAACAGATACGAAGCAGCAGGGCAGTGTTCGAATAGAAATGCAGTAAGAATGTCGAATTCAAGGAAGCAGCTAGTTGCGAAGAGCTCACCAATATTGCATTGGGTTTGCCAATAGCCCACAAATTAACAATGTGATCTTCACCTCCAGTAACTAGAATCCTAGACGATTTCCTCCCAATCTTGAGACAATTCACAGCAGAAGAATGTGCCACAAATTCCTCTTTCAAGGAAGTAAAAGCCGTGGTCAAGGAAATGAAATTGGAAGTAACTTAAAAGGAAATGAAGTAATGCTGATGAGATCAGCGAAGCATTTACAGCAATTCGAAAGCAAGAGAAGCCATAAGGATACGGAGCTTGTAGGCGCGTTTGGTAGTCATGGTCCCGCCGATGAAGAACCAACGAAGACCAAAACAGGTTTAAATTAATAGTTGCAAACTTAGAAATGGAGTAGCGGCAGCAGGCTGCTTTTCTTCTTCCTCTTCCTCTTGGCTCTTGCCCTTGTCATTTATCACTCAGACCGCATTGCTACTCCGTGTGGCCAGAATCAACCACGACTACACCAGCAATCAGCAAACGAGCAATCAAACGATTCCAAACTAACCAGATCTCGAGAATCCCAAGTCGTCTCTGCTACTGCCGCCACCGCCGCCGTCCCGCCGCCGTTAATCTTATATCACTACAAATTGAGGGGGGAAATGGTGATTTGCTTGTGAGATCAAAGGTAAAGCTACAGCATACAAGACATTGATAGGATAAAGACTTAGGACTGAAAAAGACCTAGGGGGAGATGGTGGAAGAGGAAGGAAAGCTTTCAGAGCAGGTGAGAGGTTGCTATTAATGGAGCTGGCTGGCTGGTCGGGTTTGCCTACCGCCTTGTCCCTTAATCCTTCCTTCCCTTCCTTCTGCCAACTGCTTTCGTCGTTAATCGTTACGAAGCCTTGCCTTGCCTTGCCTTGCCTGCCTTCACCTGCTGCTTCTTCCCTCTCACTCAACAAAAGCGTATTTACCGAAAGGAGAAGAGAGGAAAAGAAAAGATAAAAGGTAAATTAATCATGAGATGGGGATGAGGGCCTTCACAGTTCAATTTTTGAAATTAAATTGACTGGTGCGGTGGCGGTGGGAGAGAGGCATTCGGGAATTTGAGAGTAAACGGTTGGCGAAGGTAATATGATAGGCGAAATGTGGGGAAAAGTACAGAAGCAGAAGGGCCAGGCCCGGTGGATAGAAACGTTGGGCTGGTCCAATTTAGACTTCGGCTTCCTTCCATCATGTTAGTCGTTCATACTTTTGGGCTCGGCCTAGTCCAAACTACAATTCAATACAATTAGAAGAGCTATATGGCCCGCCGGCCGGCCGCCAGCCCGGTCCTAACTACGGTGAATTACAAGCTCGAGAAGTCAGAAATCAAGTCATTAGACCATCTCCATCTCTGCAATAGGTTAGCCATTTCATAAATGGACCCCACATCCACATCACCAACTTTAGCAACTATTCAATTCAACCATTTCAAACCACCTGCATCCCTGCAATAGGTTAGCAATTGCAATTGATGGGACCTACTACATATTCTTTTCTTTAATAATACATTTTATGTGTACAAAGTGGATAGAAAAGAAAGAAAGAAAAAAGAAAGAATTTGAGTGCATGGATGTGTGGGTCCCAATTGCTTATGTGGCATTGCAAAGGGGATTGCTTATTTAGCAATCTTGCTAAATAAGAAAGAAGTGCTACATCCTTGCAATTGCTTAAAGCTATTGCCACATAGGATTCCACCCAATAAGCAATAGCAACAAGCAATTGGATGGAGATGGTCTTACAATTGAAAACACTCATATACAACCCCTACCATATCCTCCCAACTGTTTGCCTTCTTTGGAGTATCTGAAAAGCTTCGGAATGTAGTTGTTTTCAACTCTTGCCCACTATATTTGTTGTTGTTGCCGCATCGAATAGAGTATGATATTATTGATTTTATAGTTAAATTTTCACCGATTTATATTAGGTTATATTGGATTTTTTTAGAGGACTCGCATTAATTGGGTTTGGTGGACACTTGTAGACAAGGGTCATTTCTCTTGTATTTTCGATGTGATACTTATATTGTACCATAACAATCCTCTCATCAAGACATATATCAAATCATGAGGTCACAAAATGAGGGTCCACCAGACTGACGTCCACTACCGCGGACTGAAACTGAACCAGACTTTGGTTCCACTTGCTCCAAACCGAATAGCTATATTAGTATGATATTGTCCACTTTGGGTCAAGCCCGTACAAATTTACCTTTGGGTATCCACCCCTAAATGTCTCTTGCTGATTGTGACACTTATATACGGGTATCATTTCCCTTGTATTTTCTACGTGGTTTGTACCATAACACGGTTCATGCTAAATGCCAATGTTGTTGTTCGTCTTTCCCTGGGTTGTGTCTTTTGGACTAGTGCCAAGGATCAGGCGGTGGAGTGCAGTTACTTGTCAACCTCCAACCTCCAGCGGTGGCTGGTCAGCTTGTTCGTGAATTGGACTCTGAATTTCTGATATGATGGACGATCGTGTTCTTCGAGATTGTCTTCATATGGCGTCATCTCTAAGTCAAGGATTATAGTGTAGTGTAGTCCATATAATATTTTGACTGAGCTACCTATGAAGTTGCACGTAAAGCATTGTCTCTATCTTGTATAGTGTTATAGTGTTTTTGGGTGATACTTTCAATTGTTATATCTTACAAGAAGAAGGAAAAAATTAACTAATTAAAAACATTTTTAAGAGATGGAAAGGAAGGAGAAAAGGCAACTTTTCCAGCAGATTGATTGTAATAATTGCACAATTATTGTGAAGTGCGTTCCCTCCTTTTTTTCTAAACTCCAAATTCCCACCTAACTCCAACTTAACCAGTGATCGGAAAAAGAACAAAACTCCAAGCTGATCAACTAATGCATTTGTGGAGCGATTTTGGATAGTGACCATATATGCATGATATATATGATTCAAAGTGCCTTTGGGCTAATTTTATAGCTTATCATCGGTTTTGGTTGGCCTCTTGTCGTTTCTCATAAGAGCATTACCGCGCAATAACATTGGACATTGTCACATTCTGCAACAGTAGCACTCCCTAATCAATCAGTCCAATAATACCATTATCCCAACATGGATTGTCGAACGTCTATCTTAATATATGTACACATCAATCCAATACTAAGCCACACCCTTATGCTCGTGTGTGTGATTCAGTTACTGAATTATTGCATATGCCACGTTTAGTGGGAACAGTCAATAATATTCCTACATGCATTATTAGTCTGGTTTAGTTGAGGCTGCTTTCCCATGACAATTGGTATTTGGTACATGGGGGATATAAGTATGGTTGTCGGGTTTCCCCGAATGTCGGGACTCGTCGATGAAAAGTCGAGCTCTCAGTAAGGTTTTCACTATACAACTGCAGAGATGGAGCTTTTTTCTGGTACGTTATACCCTTCACGAAGCATCTTGGGTATTGGGTAAATTACAAAGCAAAGTTTAAACACAACTAGTTGTGCAATCCAGTTACAGACCGTGATTATGGTGGTCCAAACCGTGACCGTTGTTCAGTGAACGTGAAAGATGCATAATACGCTTTTGTAAACGATTTGTGGCCGGAAGTTGAGAAGTCACGATCGTGACTTAGCTTCATGCCCAAATAGAAAGTATATCTTGTAATCAAGAAAATATGTCATACATAAATCGAAATACTATTAGAGGAATAAAAATTATAGTTCGTCTATGTGTAGCTACGTTTTGACAAAAAGTTCATCCAGCCAGTAGTAACGTGACACTTATATTCCTAACTCCTAAGTTCAAAATGGAGATATACATGTCGGGCATCAAAGTACCACTAGGAACAATAAGAACTTAAAACATTGTAACACCCTGTAAATTTGAAGATAATTAGTCGTAAGTATTGCAAGCACGATCTAATTAACAAGCTAATGATGATCATGATATTCACATAACAAACTTCTTCTTCTTCTAGAGGCTTTCAATATATGTCTCGTTTGTATAGGCAGTATACATGGACGACAGGATGAGTAAGATGGACAATGGCCGCTACTGATCGATGTAAAACGTTGCTTTCTTTTTTCCTATCCCACACGATCGATAGATTACGTTGCTGTTGAAGTTAACAAGGCCACCCTCTCCCACTAGTGATTATAAATACTCGTATCTACTTAGTGGAGAATTATTTAGTTTGTTCACGGAGCACGCACACTAAATATATAAATCTGATTGGCAGAAACCGGGCCTTCTTCCCTGCAGATCGCTTTAGAAGTATGTCAATGAAAAAAAATAAGTTGATATAGACCAACAGCTAGGTAGGATTTTGTTACGTACAAGATCTTTGATTTTCAGATTGGGGATAACTTGGGTCAAAATTTCATGTAAAAGCCCTTTTTAGAGGCGAAATCAACTCAAACTAGTTATTAAAATACTGAAAAACTAACAAAACACGAAAATATTTCATTTCAAAATGAATTATTCAAAACTTATGGAATTCATCTATACCAAACGGTATGTTATAGTTTATCTATTTCCTTCTCGCCTAGGATTAGGGATGACAATGAGCCGGTCTTGGCTGAGTTTTGTCAAAACCAAACTCATGAGTATATTCACCAAAAACCCCGAGGTAAAAACCAATGAGTTTGGAAAGCTCAAACTCAATCCAGCCTGCTAGATATTTGCGGGTCCATGGATACCCATGGGGTATGGGTTCTATAAGTGCACAATAACTTCCTATCAAAATAAAAGTCTTAACATCATCTTCCGATACAAATTATTCATACAAAAAAACCTATCTAGAGCACAAGCAAACCACAAATTATTAAAGACTAAAGATAAACATCCATAAACAACATAATTAATTGAAAACTTCTTCCTCCTGTTGTCAACTAAGCTTCTACACTCTCTACTCCATAATATCAACTTCATTCTACACAATTAGTAATAACAAATTAAATGGGTAGGGGTTGGAACGGGTTGGATATGACTAAACCCGAACTCAACCCGCAAAATAGTAGAACGAGTTTAAATTCGAACCCGAACCGTAATCCATCAACTCTGCCTCCTTTAAATACTCGAATTTCCTTTCTGTCGTTACAAGAAACATTAATTGATTATTAAAACAAGAACTACCACAATTCATAATCTGACTAAAATACTGATAACGAATAGTTATAACAAAACGTTCTTAAATTATACAAAACACGTAATTATCAGAAATACATTAAATAATATGCAATCACAATACTTCATATTGCCACGTCGGCTCATTCAATCTTATATCATATTCAATGTATTAAGGTTGAATTTTGGACATTTCCAATCTTAAATATAATTATTCAAGCCAAAGTGGTTGTCTGTGAGCTCAACTATGTGATTGATTGCTATGACAATCCTTTCCTTTGTAACTTTTTGTGATAGATTTTGGCGCATACAATGTTGGTGTTTGGCTTTGAGCTAATAGCATGGATTTTCCATTCGAATGTCGAGTCATTAGTATAAAGTTTAGACTAACCTCGAGCTTGATGATTAGGGTGATAATGTCTGTGCAGTGGCCGAGGTAGGGCGAAGTAAGGAGAGATTATAGTTCTCTCAACTTTGAATAATAAATAAGATTGCAAGTAAAATGCGTGATAATTTTTGAAAATAGTATAGTTCATAAGGCATTTATCCTTCCTCCCCAATATCGTAATTCAAAATCAGCCGTTCTGATGGCTAACTCCGCCATGTGACAAGATTAACCCTAAAAAAGTGAAGCTGACCCAAATTTGATAATTGTGATAGTGGTGGGTTCTAATGTTAGGAGTAAACCAGCCGGTTCGATTTCGGGATTAAGTTGGAGTGGGAGGTAAAAGTAAAAGCGGACTAATTAAGTGTACAAGTTTACCTCATCATCATTGTTCTTTCCAGAAGGAAGAACAAGTTTTTTGTTGATTGATTAATTTCACACGTACATGTAGTAATGTCCCACTGTGTTCTTCGCTCTTATAATGTCTTGTGTATCACAACATGTAGACGGACAAGCGATATCAATCAAGCGGTTGAGAGAAAACAAATTCGTGTCGCAT